GCTATTTTTTGGTTGCAGCCATCATTGTTGTTTGGCAGGCCCGGGCTGGATTCAAACCCGCCACCTTAGGTGTATGTGGCTGGCGCCTTAGCCACTTGAACCACAGGTGCCGAGCCTTTTTTTCCATTCTTGAGACACATTACTAAGAAGAAACTACTTGGCGCTATTTTTTGTTTTATACTTTGTATCATTCCCCTTATTATTCAGTTATCTTTTTAAAAAGAGGAAGTCAGAATGTAAACATCATTTTATATGAAATCAAAAAAATTCTGAAATATATTTAAATACTTATTTAAATATATATTTGTTTTATTTGAATTTTGTCTTTTAAGATAGTTCTTCAGGCTGGGCACCTGTAGCTCAGCAGCTAGGGCGCCACCCACACACACCAGAGCTGGCGGGTTTGAATCCAGCCCGGGCCAACTACAACCAAAAAATAGCCAGGCATTTTTGGTTGGCAAAATGCAACCTACTGTAGCCTGTAGTCCCAGCTACTTGGGAGGCTAAGGCAAGAGAATTGTTTAAGCCCAAGAGTTTGAGGTTGCTGTGATTTGTGATGGCACAGCTCTCTACAAAGGGTGACATATTGAGATTCTGTCTCAAAAAAAAAAAAAAGTTCTTCCTAGACTATTGAGACATGTGACTCTCATGTGACTGTCTCTAGTTGCAAAATCTCTCCCATTTAGAATAAGTACTCTGCAGAATGAAAAGATGATATTCAATATATTGATATTTGTCTCTTTGACACGACTAGTGAGTGAAATCTTCTGCTTCTCTCTGGATCCTAATACCATATACAGTTCCTCCTACTTATGTAGCTGATGTTCAGATTACTTTGGGTGGCCTCTTCGCTGGTTGCCCCAGGAATAGAAGCCTGTTCACTGTCCATGGCTCCATGGCAGATGTATCCTCTGTAACCTTTTTTTTTTTTGAGACAGAGTCTCAAAAAAGGCAGAGTGTTGTGGCATCATCATAGCTCACAGCAACCTCAAACTCTTGGGCTCAAGTGATCCTCCTGCCTCAGCCTCCTGAATAGTTGGGACTACAGGTGCCAGCCACAATGCCTAGCTAATTTTGTTTTTAAAAGAGTCTCACTCTGTTGCCCTGGATACCTGAGTAGAGTGCCATGTCATCATAGCTCACGGCAACCCCAAATTCTTGGGCTCAAGTGTTCCTCCTGCCTTAGCCTCCCAAGTAGCTGGGACTATAGGTGCCAGCCATGACACTCAGCTGGTTTTTCTATTTTTGGTGGAGACGGGGTCTTGCTCTTGCTCAGGCTGGTCTCAAACTCCTCAGCTCAAGCAATTTGCCCGCCTTGACCTCCCACAGTGCTAGGATAACAGGTGTGAGCACCGTGCCCAGCCTTATATGACCTTTCTTACTCTATAAGCCTATCTTTCTCTTCCTCTATAAACTTTGTTTCATGCTTGCCTTAAAAGAAAAAAAAGATGACTTTGGACTACAGTATATGATTAAAAATTCTACAGAATGGAATTATTTTCTTCTTACAATTTCCCATCCAAATTTTAATACATAATAGCTAATTTGATATTTTTTCAAGTGGCTTTATTGAGGTACAATTCACATACTATACAATCCACCCATTTAAAGTGTATAATTCAGTAGCTCTGTGACTGTTGGTCACAGCCACTGGATTTAGTGCTCCTTGAGTCCCAGGCAGCCCTTCGCTTGTTCATTCACCAAACATTGAGCACCTACTGAGTACTGGGGATAAAGGGGTGAGCAGGGCTGTCTGGCGGCGGTTGGAGGGAGCGCTTATCAGTAATAATCATTGTTACTGAGCACCACTGAGCACAGTGCTACTGCTCCATGACTGTGTCCCCAGGGCTGTGGGACTGGATAGTAGTTGTCCATGGAACTGAGTTAATCCAGTGAAAGGTGACCCCACGCCACACCAGAGGCAGGGTCAGTTCAGTGCTTTTTCTTTTTTTTTTTGAGACAGTGTCACTTTGTCTCTGAGTAGAGTGCCATGTCATAGCTCACAGCAACCTCAAACTCTTGGGCTCAAATGATCCCTTGTCTCAGCCTCCCTAGTAGTTCCTAGTAGCTGGGACTGCAGGCGCCCGCCACAATGCCCTGCTAGTTTTAGAGGCAGGGGTCTTGCTCTTGCTCAGGCTGGTCTTGAACTCATGAGCTCAGGCAATTCACCCGCCTCAGCCTCCCAGAGTGGTAGGATTACAGGTGTGAGCCACCGTGCCCAGCCTGCTTTTTCCTTTTCTTTCTTGTTCTAGCTCAATGCTTTTTCATCGGGTGGTCAGGGCTTTGCACCTGGCCATCATCTGGGACCTCTAAGGTCCCACTATTCAGTTCCAGTGAAAGCCCAGTTAGACAGAAGGCAGGGTGAGTGGTGGACCCCCCGCCTCTGCTTTAGGAACTAGAGGCCATGTTGTCTTGGCAGTGTCTTTACACAGGGCCTGGCGCTATCCCAGCCACTTTCATAGATGGCAACTCATTTGGTGGTTAAAACACAATCCACCAAGGTCTCTGGGGGTGACTGGCACAGCCTGCTGTTCCATGAGTGTCCTCAGAGAGAGACATCCCTGCACAGGGCAAGTGGTAAGTGTGGCTCCACTCCTCTGGCTAAGCCTGGGCCTGAAGCCAAAAGTCCCCTGCTTCAGGCCTGATGCAGGGAGGACCTAAGGCGGGGGCTCTCCTCACTTCCGGCCACCCTCAGGCTGCAGCAAGGCACAGGAGGTGTGAGCCAGGAGGTTCTGAACTCGGGGACCCCACCCACCATCACACATGTTCACCACACTGGGTGATCTGATGACCCCATTGTCCCTCCTAACTTCCAGGAGGAATGGTGTGTGTGTGGGGGTCCAGGTATTGGCAAACCCCTTCCAATAGGCAAACTGATGTAGCCTCCATTTATGTACCAGGTGTGAACACATGCCAGGTGCCAGGACCAGCCTAGGAGCTCCTCTCCTTTAATCCTCACACCCACGTTTGGGGCAGATAGATGGCACAGGAAAACGGAGGTCAGAGTGTGTGCCCAAGTCCCTGCCTCACCAGGAGCTGGGGCATGCCTCGAGCTTGGTGTGTAGGAGCTCAAAGCCTGAAGGCTCCACACACCCCACCCCCAGAGTGGAGATTGTATCTCCTCCTTCCAGCAGGACACTCCCATCAGACTGGGGCCTCCTGAGAGGGAAGGAACCAGTAGCTCATGCCTGAAAAGTGACTGCTGGCAGCTCACCACACTGGGTGTTTCCCAGGAGGAAGGGACTGTTACCCTGCTGGGGAGGCTTCCTGAGGCAGGGGCTATGTTATCTTAATTCCTTCCCCTGGCTCTGGTTCGAGCCTGCTCATGCTGCCACATGGAGCCCCAGGTTTTCAGGCTGAAAGGGAGTGATAAGCCCCAGGTAATGAACAGTGTCCAGCCAGGTCCTGGTCCCAGGGGGTGAGAGGAGCCAGCATCAGCTGGCAACAGGCACATGAAGCAGGTACAGGCCAGGGGCAGCTGACTGAGCCCGGAGGCCCCTCCTCCCACAAGCTGGGCAGGGCCAGAGGCTCACAGAAGCTGCCACTGAGGACAGTGAGATGAGGGCCTGAAACCAGCTCCAGGGTTTGAGCTGCTCTGAAAAGGGGATGCTGCATTGTGCCCAGCCACAGTCCTGGATGCCCAGCCATAGTCCTGAACCCCCAGCCAGGGAGGAAAGGAAGGAAGGGACTCTAGGGCCTCAACTTTGGCTAGAAGTGAGATGGCCCCCAAATTGCAGAGGGTGCGAATGTATCAAATAGCGGCCACTCCTAGACGCAACCTTGGGCAAGTCACTTAATTCCTCTCAGGCTGTTTTCTCACCTATAAAATGGCCATAAGTCCCCCCTATCTCAGAGGGGTTATGAGGACGGGATGAGTAAATGACCAAAAGCAGGTGACAGCCCAGCCTGCACACAGCAGGTGTGCAGCAAACATGAGCCACGTGTGGGATGGCACCCTGAGCTTCAGAAGCATTGCCTGGGGCAGTGGTCCCCAAATCCTGGGCTGCAGACCAGACCGGTCTATGTGGTCTGTTAGGAACCAGATGGCACAGAGTTATCACCTGAGCTCTGCCTCCTGTCCCATCTCCCCTCACCCTACCCTTAGTCTGTGGAAGAATTGTCTTCCATGAGACCAGTCCCTGGTGCTGAAAAGGTTGGGGACTGCTCCTCCTAGGGCTGGGAGACTGGCCCTCCTGGCTCTGTCTGAATCTCAGCAATGTTCCCTCTCTGGTCTCCCCAGGCCCAATTCCCTCCTCTTCCTCCAGCCGACCCAGTAACCTGCTAACAAGCTGTTGCCTGACCTGCCCCAGGACCTTGTCCTTGTCCTCAGCACCAGCCTGGCTTTCAAGGCTCTTGGTACATGGCTCTACTTTGGGAGGAGCCCACGCTCCCACTTCCAGGCCTCTGCACCTGCCCTCTGCTCTCCCTGAACCACTCTCACCTCCTCCGGGAGGCTATCCCTGAGACCTGGCTGTCCTTCAACTACAAATCACTAAACCTAATCTTTGGTGCCAGACTTTGCGGCCACGCTCCACGGTGACACTATTTTATTTAATCCTTAAAATAAGGTATGAAGTGTCATGCTGTCATCCCATTTCACAGATGAGACAACCCAGGTGCCGAGGATCTAAGATCCAGAACCCAGATCTGACTGTTTTTTGTTTTTGAGATAGACTCACTCTGTCACCTTTGGCACAGTGGTGTGGCGTCATACCTCACAGCAACCTCAAACTCTTGGGCTCAAGTGATTCTCTTGCCTCATCCTCCTGAGAAGCTGGGACAACAGGTGCCTGTCACAACGCCAGGCTATTTTTAGAGATGGAGGTCTCGTTCTGGCTCAGGCTGGTTTTGAACCCGTGAGCTCAGGCAATCCACCTGCCTTGGCTTCCCAGAGTGCTAGGATTATAGGTGTGAGCCACTGCACCTGGCCCTAGATCTGACTCTTAACATTCTGCTTCTTCCTCAGCACTGAGGGGCAGAGCTCTTGGTCCTGTGTCATTCTTGCTATGTCCCCACCAACAAGATAGAGCCTATTACAGAGGCCAGGCTTAAGAAATCGGAAGGCCCAGGAGGGTAGGCCAGGGTTGCAGGCTGATGTGGTTCTCCCCACTCAGCTCACCTCAGACCCCCATGCACTGCTGTCCCCAGAGGAGCCCACACCACCCAATGCCCTAGGGAAGGAGCAGTGGAAACAGGCCTCAAGGGGAGGTACTGTTTACTGGGTTGTCTGAAGACAATAAGACAGTCCTGGGTCCACTGGGCGGCAGCTGTTGCTCCCCCCAGGGCCTGCACAGGCAGTGAGGTAGATGGGCAGCAGGGGCAGCCACCCTGTCTTCTGAGAGGCCCAGAGGCCTCAGCTGCAGCCCTTTCCTTGAGGCTCCCTTGACAGCTGTCCTAGACCCTGGGAAGCATGCTGCCAGGGCAGGCCAGCCTGCGAAGGCTCCAGAGGCGGGGAAGGCAGTGGGGCTGTTAGTTCTGGCCCTCCCCAGGCTAACCCAGGGGCAGCAGCATTGCCACTGCCCACACCTGTTCCTTCCTGGGGGTGGATCTGCAGGTCCCTGTCATCCTGGGCTCGGCCCGGCACCGGTCAGCTGGGGAGGAGAGGCTGGAGCTCTGAGGCAGTGCTGTTGTTCCTGTACAGAAGGAACTGGATGGAGATCTGGAGGGGCCGACGTTAAGGCCAAGCAGAGCAGAGACAGGACCTCTCCCCAAGGGACATGTGGCTCCACCTGGAGCTGCCTTCCTCTTCTATCTTGCCCCCGCTGCAGGTGGAAAAGGTCAGAAATGGCCTCCCAACCTTAGGCCATACTGTCTCCTCCACTCTGAGCGCCTTCCCTGCTCCTCAGGCCCCACCTTCCGAGTCCAGCCACTGAGTTCTTCCTGCCTCGCTGGTCCCCCTGGTGAGGGAACTAGCATCTGAACCCAGGTTGTTCTGATTCCTACTCACCTGTCTCCACATTTCAGCTTTCTTTTTTGGCAGGGGCTGGGTTTGAACCCACCATCACTGGCATATGGAGCCGGCGCCTTACTCCTTTGAGCCACAGGCGCCGCCCCACATTTCAGTTTTCATTCTCACAGTTGGACAGGCTGATGTTTTTGTATTCCTTGAGGCTTTTGCACAAGCTGTGCCTGAACACACCTCCTTTGCCTTTACCTAATTTGCTGATTCTTCAGGTCACAGCTTAAATGACATTTGTGAGCCCTTCACTGACCCTCTAAAACAGGGCAGACCCTGGCTATGCACTCATGCCCTGTACCTCTGCACTGACACCGCTGCGATGAAGTCATTATTTGATAATTATGTACGTCCTGTCTGCCTCCCACTGGGCTATAAGCTTCTGAGGCAAGGGCCATTCTGTTCTTGCTCCTGATGGCTCCAGCACCTGGCTGGGTGCCCAGCGCACAGGAGGTGTGCATGCTGGAATGGAAGGATGGAGAGCGGGAGGGAAGGAAAGAGGGATGGCGGGAGGGATGGCAAGATGGAGAAATGGATGAAGGGAGGCAGAGGGGTGAAGTGAGGGAAGGAAGGAGAACTAGAAACAGGGAGAAATAGGAAGGATGAAGGGATGGAGGGAGGAATGGCAGGACGGACGGAGGGATGGAGAAATGGATGGGTGGATAGAGGGATGAATGGGGAAGGGGAATAGACAATGGATGGATGGGTAGAGAGATGGATGGAGGCATGGAGGGATAGATGGAGGGGTGGAAGAAGGAAGCTTATAGCCTAGTGGGGAGCAGACAGGAGATGGAGAAACACATGGATGGATAGAGGAATGGATATGGACGGAGGAGTGGAGGGATAGATGAAGGGATAGAGGAAGGAAGGAGGGAGAAGAAGGGAAGATGGAGGGATAGAGAAATGCATGGGACGGCGCCTGTGGCCCAGTGGGTAGGGCACCAGCCCCATATACTGAGGGTGGTGGGTTCAAACCCGGCCCCAGCCAAACTGCAACCAAAAAATAGCCAGGCGTTGTGGCAGGTGCCTGTAGTCCCAGCTACTCAGGAGACTGAGGCAAGAGAATTGCCTAAGCCCAAGAGCTGGAGGTTGCTGTGAGCTGTGACACCACGGCACTCTACCAAGGGCAATAAAATGAGACTGTCTCTAAAAAAAAAAAAAAGAGAGAGGGAGAGAAATGCATGCATGGAAGGATGGAGGAAGGGATGGATGGAGGGAGGGATAGGTCATGGAAGGAAGGGTGGCGAGGTGGAGGACGGGATGGATGGATGGAGGGAGGGAGGGAGGGAAGGAGTATGGAAGGAGGAATGGTGGAGGCAGGGAGAAATGAAGGGAAGGAGGGGGTAGAGGAGGAATGATGACAGGATGGAGGGAGGGATGAAAAGAAGGTTAAATGGAGGGAGGGAGGTGGTGGCGCCTGTAGCTCAGGAGGGTAGAGGAGGAATGATGACAGGATGGAGGGAGGGATGAAAAGAAGGTTAAATGGAGGGAGGGAGGTGGTGGCGCCTGTACCTCAGTAGGTAGGGCGCTGGCCACATACACCCAGGCTGGCGGATTCAAACTCGGCCTGGGCCAGTTAAAACAATGACAAATGCAACAACAACAACAACAACAAAGCTGGGCATTGTGGCGGGCACCTGTAGTCCCAGCTACTTGCGAGGCTGCTGTGAGCTGCGATGCCAGGGCGACAGCTTGAGACTCCGTCTCAAAAATAAATAAATAAATAACTAAATAAAATGGCGGGCAGGAGGGAGGAAGGTAGAAAGGAAGGAAGATGAAAGGAAGGAGGGAGAGAGAGAGGAATGAAGAGGGGGAGGGAGGGAGGACGGACAGGGGTAACAGATGCTGAAGCTGTATGCAGGCAGAGGCCTCCCATGCCCCACTCCACCCACCCTGCGCCCCTGAAGGATACCACGGTGTCGAGCAGCAGGACACCCAAGCTGCCCACGAGCCAGGGCAGGTGGTGCAGCAGGTAGCTGCCCTCACTCTGGCCCACCTCAGGGTTTTTGAGCAGCACGCTCAGCCCGTACAGAGTGTTTCCCAGCATCACCAGCGCGAACAGTGAGTAGGAGATACCCTCGGTCGATTTCCGCAGGAACTACGGGTGGAGGGGGCAGAATCAGAGCTTCCCAGGGGGCTGTCCTTACTCCGGACTATAACTGTCAATGCGTCCGTGTGTACTGCCACAGCAGGGCAGACCAGCCCCTTCCAGGATCCCACCCCCACTCTGACAGAGATGCCCTCCCAAGCCCTGCCCAGCAAGCTTCTACCCTCTCCTCTTGGGCTTCTAAGCTCAGCCCCCAGCTCCATGCCCATTTTCCAGAGGTAGAAACTGAGGCTCAAAGAATTGGATTAACTTGTCCGAACCAAAAGTGAGGTGGTCCCAGACTATCGGAACCGAGACTCCCACACCATACCACTCCCTAACCCTGAGGGCCCCACCGGCCAGACTCAAGCTCACATTGGTGTGGATCTGAGGCACTCGGGACAGCAGGTACAGCACGCTGGAGACTGAGCCGATGACAAAGCCAATGATTTCCTGCTTAGTGAAGGGCTGGAGGGCAGAGGGGGGTGCTCAGGGCCTTGTTGGGGGTGGGTGATACATAGGCCCCTTCTAGACAGTGATCCCCCACCCCACTTAACACCATAGGCCGTGCAGGGGAGGGCCCTGGGGAAGAGGCAGCCCCTGGCTCCCATTCCACCACCATCTGCCCACTCCTCACCGTGAAGCCTGGCTCCAGAGACAGGAGCATCCGTCCCCGGAAGACTTCCCTCGGGGCAGCCACAGGGCCAGCCCTGCTCAGCAGGGGCGTGGAGCACACTGACCCAGCGATGAGTAAGAGCAGAGAATTGATGGGGGCAGACACTGGACATAAGGCAGGAGGGAAGTCACGGTTAGAAATCCAAGCAGCAGCAGAAGGGCTGGGATCTGGATCTGGGCCTTGCCCCTCAGTGGCTGTGTGACCCTGGACAAGTAACTTAACCTCTCTGAGCTTTAATTCCTCATCTGCAGAACAGGTTCTCCCAGATTTGTAAAGATGAAACAATGAGGGTTGTGTAGTGAGGAGGGGGTTATCCAAAACAGAAACACTAATGATATACAATTCTCTTTTTTTCTTTTTTTAGAGACCGAGTCTCACTTTATCACACTCGACAGAGCGCTGTGGCATCACACTGCTCACAGCAACCTCAAACTCCTAGGCTTGGTGATTTTCTTGCCTCAGCCTCCCAAGTAGCTGGGACTACAGGTGCCTGTCACAACGCCTGGCTATTTTTTTGTTGCAGTTTGGCTGGGACTCTGTTTGAACCCGCCACCCTTGGTATATGGGGCCTGCACCCTACCCACTGAGCCACAGGCGCCACCCAGAGACACAGTTCCCTTCCCAGGTGCCTCTATTGTTCTAAAACAGCCCTTGACCTGACCTTGGCTACTGCCCTTTCTGAATCCTGGTGTGATTTATCCTTGTTTCCCTAGCTGCAAGCCCAGGGTCAGACACAGGGAGTAGCTGAAGCCTTGTCTGCCAAAGGAGTGACCTCCCTGTGGTCTGCCCCAAAATGCTCCCGGTCCTCAAGTTCTCTATCTTGGCTGATTAAAGCCTATCTAAAGCTTATCTAAAAGCCCGAGGAAGCCTTTCTGAGGTTTATCACCCAGCAGTGGGCAGCCTGTTTCCTCCCAGGCTCCAGGCTGCCCTCCCCCATCCCCAGTAGAGTGCCAGACACAGAGTAACCACCACCTTACTCACACAGAGAGGGGCGTTTCTTGAACTTGTAGTAAAAGTACAGTGACAGCATGAACAGGTCCGCCAGGACGTAATACACTGCTGTGTAGGTCTGCAAGAGACGGGGCCCGGCTGTCAGCTGCAGCCCGAGACCCGGGACCACAACCTGGCAGCATCTTCAATATCCCTGCTAGTAAGCCCTGGCCAAGTCGCATCACCTCTCTGAGCCTCTTTTCCTCCGCTAGAAAGAACAGGATCTCAGTTCCTACCTGGCGAATTATATGTCAGGCAGGCAACAGGCCTGGCCAAGTGCCCAGCATAGCAGGTGCTGCTGCTACTAGTTAGCACAGAACTCTGCAGTTAGCTGATGGCTCTGGTTTGGCTTGCTACAGGAGCTGGTGACTTTCTGGTCCCACTTCGAAAGACAATGCTTTCCTGACTAGGATTCCCAGTTCTGCCTGGCCACAGAATGATGACACCTGGGCCTCCCAAGGAAAAACTCCTTTCTTTTCCTGATTGAGTAGTCAGCATCCTGGCACTTCAGAGGTGAAGACCCCAATGACTTTAGGGTTTGATGTGTTCACATTGCACATGGAGAGACGGAGGCCCAGAGAAGGGCAGTGGTCACACAGTACGGCAGGCAGATGCCTCTCAATCACCTGGGCCCCTCACAGGACCGAATGACAGGACAGGACTCTGGAGAGTCCCCTCCTCCAGCTAGCTGATCCCAACACCTCTGCTGCAGCTGTCCCTGGTGCCCCACCCTGCCTGGGGACTGGCCCACCTGCAGGGGCAGCTGGTTAGCAAGGAAGGACCCGATGAGGTTACAGGAGTCTCCGCCGATCCAGCCCAGGAGGAACCACAGGGACAGGGCTTGGTCCATGTTGCCCGTCTTGCAGGCCTTGATGAACTGGCTGTGGAAGAGGAGGGGGACACAGATTCAGAGGCCGAGAGCTGACAAGGCCATCTTGGAGGACCACGGGTGAGATGACCACAGAAGAGTGAGGCAGGGGCAGCGGCTGGATAGGAGATGGCCTGGAAGCCCACCCTTCCCACGGCCAGATCCTCAGGAGGATTTTCCCCCAAGGGAGCCCCCCGCTAGCCTGGGGGCTCTATGGCTGGCATCATCCCAGAGAGCCCACAGTACTGCTCAGATTCCCCTCTACGGTACCCTGGGTTTCCAGTGGGGACTTGGGGTTTATAAGGTCCTGAAATTGTGTCAGGCCTTGAGAGCCACTCCACAGAGCTCCAGATCCTTTGTTCTATGGATGGGGGTGGGGAAGCCCCCCCACCCCACCCTCATCAGTCTCCTAACCAAGCCTTGTTCCTCTCAAATCCATCCTCCCTCTCACAGATCTTTCTAAAACCCCAATCTTGCCCCCAAACTGCCATTCAGCGGTTGGGCATGGGAGGCTGAGATGGGTGGATCACCTGAGCTCACAGGTTTGAGACCAGCTGAGCCAGAGCAAGACCTGGTCTCTAAAAATAGCCGGTAGGTGGTGCCTGTGGCTTAAGGAGTAGGATGTCAGCCCCATATACTGGAGGTGCAGGGGCAGGTTCAAACCCGGCCTCAGCCAAAAAACTGCAAAAAAAAAAAAAAAAGAAGCAAATAAAATACAGTAGAAAAATAAAATAGCCAGGCGTGTGGTGGGTGCCTCAGCTAATTGGGAGGCTAAGGCAAGAGAATTGCTTGAGCCCAAGAATTTGAGGTTACTGTGAGCTGTGATGCCATGGCACTCTACTGAGGGTGACAAAGCGAGACTGTATCAAAAAAAAACAAAAACAGGAACAAAAATTGCCCTTCAGTAAGAACCCATATTCTCCAGAGGACACCCTTGCAAGGGTCCCTGGTTCTGCCCCCATCCCCAGGGCTCTTCCCTCCAGACGGCCCAGTCATGCCCAGACACCCCCTTTTCATCCTTCTCATTTTACGAAGTATCAGTTCCTCCCCTGGGCCTTCCCTGACACAAGCTCTACTGGCATCTTCTCCTTCCTCCTTTGTGACAGTCATCACCCTTATCCCTCAGCCAGGCACCAAGAAGCTTTTTAGCTAAGATCTAGCCCACAGCTCTTCGTAAAGCTTCTCTAAGATGCTACAACCCGTCCCCATAAGTTGCAAGAAAGTGATTCTATCCTCCCCAGGAGAGGCTGATTTCTAGGGAGGAGCAGGAAGGTGGCCTCCCTTCCCCTGTCACTTGGAGGTCTCCTGCAGGCCTCTGACCTTTCACTGCCAACCCAGGCAGGAAGGAGAAGCCCCAGCCAGCTCCTCAGATAGTTCTGGGGAAGCTCTCACTCTGGACCGGAGTCTCACCCCTGGCCACTATCAGTCACCCAGACCTGGCCCATCTCTGAGGGGGACATCTACAGTCCCACTCCATTGTCACTTGCTGGATGGCTTCCACAGCCTTTAACGCGGCCTCCCTGCCTCCAGTCTCTCTCTGGGTCCCCCTGGTCCTTTTCAAGGGTGCCAGAAAAGCAGCTCTGCAAAGGCAAGAATGGCATCCATTTGGTTTATTCATACCACACTGGTGTGCCCCCTGGAACACAGTAATTCAGTAAAAATGTCATCCACTAACAGAGTGCCTGGACAGTGCATCAGGAAAAGGATGGTCTGTTCAACACATGGTGCTGGGACAAATGGATTTTTACATGCAAAAGAATGAGGATGGGCCTCACACCATGCACAGACTATAATTCAAAATGGACCAAACGCCTAAATGGAAGTTATATTTATACGACTTTGGGAATTAAGACATAAGGTAAATCTTTGTTAATTGAATTGGGCTATGGTTTCTTAGATGATATGACACAAAAAGCACACCCAACCAAAGAAAAAACAGATAAAATGGACTTTAATTAAAACTTTTGTGCTTCAAAGGATACCATCAAGAAAGTGAAAAGAGGGCAGTGCCCGGGGCTCAGTGGGCAGGGCGCCTGCCACATACACCGAGGCTGGCAGGTTCGAACCCGGGCCCCAGCCTACTAAACAAGAATGACAACTGCAACATCGACAACAACAAAAAATAGACGGGCATTGTGGCAGACGCCTATAGTCCGAGCTACTTGGGAAGCTGAGGCAAGAGAATCGCTTAAGCCCAAGAATCTGAATTTGCTGTGAGCTGTGATGCCACAGCACTCTACCCAGGATGACAGCTGGAGACTCTGTGTCAAAAAAGAAAAAAAAAGAGAGAAAGAAAAGAAACTGAAAAGACTTCTTTGGGGCTGGACATGGTGGTTCACGCCTGTAATCCTAGCATCCTGGGAGGCCAAGGTGAGTGGATCACTTGAGCTCAAGAGTTCGAGACCAGCCTGAGCAAAGTGAGACCTCATCTCTACTAAAAATAAGAACACTAGGCGAGTGTTGTGGTAGGTGCTTGTGTTCACAGCTACCTGGGAAGCCACACTTTTGTGCCCAAGAGTTTGAAGTTGCTGCGAGATATGATACCACAGCACTCAACCCCAGAGCCACTGAATGAGACTCTGTCTAAAAAAATAATAATAATAAAAGAAAGGAAGGAAGGAAGGAAGGAAGATGGGGCGGCATCTGTGGCTCAAAGGAGTAGGGCGCCAGGCCCATATGTCAGAGGTGGCGGGTTCAAACCAAGCTCCGGCCAAAAACTGCAAAAAAAGAAAGAAAGGAAAGAAAGGAAAGAAAGGAAAGAAAGGAAAGAAAGGAAAGAAAGAAAGGAAGAAAGGAAGAAAGGAAGAAAGGAAGAAAGGAAGGAAGGAAGGAAGGAAGGAAGGAAGGAAGAAAGAAAGAAAGAGAAAAGACTTCTTTGGGAAAGAACTAGGATAAATTTTTTTTAAAAAAAGAAGTGAAGGCTCGGTGCCTGTAGCTCAAGTGGCTAGAGCACCAGCCACATACACCAGAGCTGGCAGGTTCGAATCCAGCCCAAGCCTGCCAAACAACAATGACAATTATAACCAAAAAATAGCAGGGCATTGTGGCGAGTGTCTGTAGTCCCAGCTACTTGGGAAGCTAAGGCAAGAGAATTGCTGAAGCTCAAGAGTTGGAGGTTGCTGTGAGCTGTGATGCCATGCACTCTACCCAGGGTGACAGCTTGAGACTCTGTGTCAAAAAACAAAACAAAAACAACAAATAAATAAATAAAAAGAAAGTGAAAAGACAAATAGAATCAGAGAAAATACTGATAAATCATATATCAGAGGAGAATGTTGCTTTTAGAATGTGTAAAGAACCCTTACAACTCAACAAGAGAAAGACAAACAATCTAATTGAAAAGTGGACAAAGGATCTGAACAGACCTGTCTCCAAAGAAGATACACAGATGGGCTTGGCACCTGTGGCTCAAGCGGCTAAGGCGTCAGCCACATACACCTAAGGTGGCAGGTTCGAATCCAACCCAGGCCCGCCAAACAACAATGATGGCTGCAACCAAAAAATGGCCAGGCATTGTGGCAGGCGCCTATAAGTCCCAGCTACTTGGGGGCTAAGGCAGGAGACTCGCTTGAGCCCAGGAGTTGGAGGTTGCTGTGAGCTGTGATGCCATGGCACTTTACCCAGGGGGATAGCTTGAGGCTCTGTCTCAAAAAGAAAAAAAAGAAGATACACAGATGGCCAACAAGTGCATGCAAAGCTACTCAACCTCCTTACTCATCAGGGACAAGCAAATCAAAACCACAGTGAGGGGTGGCGCCTGTGGCTCAGTGGATAGGGCGCCAGCCCCATATACCAAGGGTGGTGGGTTTGAACCAGGCCCTGGCCAGACTGCAACAAAAAATAGCTGGGCGTTGTGGCAGGCACCTGTAGTCCCAGCTACTTGGGAGGCTGAGACAACAGAATCACCTGAGCCTAAGAGTTGGAGGTTGCTGTGAGCTGTGATGCCATGGCACTCTACCGAGAGAGAAAGTGAAACTCTGTCTCCAAACAAACAAACAAAAAAACACAGTGAGATACCACTTCACACCCTCAGTCTGGCTACAGTAAAAACAGAAAACAACAAGTACTAAGGAGGATTTAGAGAAACTGAAAACTTCAGATACTCCCAAGGGAACAGACAACCAGTTTGGCAGTTCCTCAAAAGATTGAACCCAGAGTTACAATATGAGCCAGCAATTCTATTCCTTAGGTCCATACTCAGGTGAAGTAAAAACATATTTCCCCATAAAAAATCATGCACGAACATGCACAGCCACATTAAACATAATAGCTAAAAACTAGGAACAATCCAAATGTCCATGGATGGATGACTGGACAAATAGCCTGTGACTGATACACAGAGAGGAATATTATTCAGCCATAAAAGGACTGAAGTATGAGACAGAGTAGCATAAATGAATCTTAAAGACACTATGTTAAGTAAAAGGAACCAGTTACAAAAGGCCACATACTGCATGATTTCATTTATATGAATCCTGCAGTGTCCAGAATAGGCAGATCTATAGGAACAGAAAGCAGATTGAAAGGTGCCAGGGGCGAAGAGGCTTAGGGGCAAATGAGGAACAACTTGTACCCTGAAATGGGTTTCTAGTACAGTATAGGAATTTTTTTCTCCAGCTGTTAAAACAGCGTCCAGCCCCCTTGGATGCGGTGGGAGGCCAAGGCAGGAGGATTCTCGATGTCAGGCATTTGAGACCAGCCTGACCCTGCCTCTACAAAAAAAATGTTTCAAAATTATGGGCAGCACCTGTGGCTCAAGGAGTAGGGTGCTGGTGCCATATACCAGGGGTGGCAGGTTCAAGCCCGCCCTTGGCTAAAACTGCAAAAAAATCAATCAATCAATGAATCAATGAAATAAAAATTAGCTGGGTATGGAGGCACAAACCTATACTCCCAGCTATTCCAGAAGCTGAGGTTGGAAGACTGCTTGAACCCAGGAGTTCAAGGCTGCAGTGAGCTATGGTCAAACTACTGTACTCCAGCGTGGCTGACAGAGAAAAATAAAAACAATAACAACAACAACAACAAACACTTATCTTTATTCCTCAGGATAAGGAGCAAATTCCTTAAGAGTGGAGAACAGCCCTTAGGTTACAGGGCTCTGTAGCACCCCTCTGACTTCCCCTATTTCACATGCCCTATCCAGCCATATAAACCCAGCTTCCCCCTCCTCCCTACACCTGCTGCTGCCTCTGCTGGCACCGTTCTCTTCCACATTCAGGCCCTTCTTTCACCTCTCTAATTCTGGCCTAGCCTGAGCTCCTTTCTGACTGTAGCCCTCTCCCGCCACTGCCGGGGGGGCAAGTGTCCCTCTTCTGTGTGTCATGGAATGATGATCCCACCACTGACAACTCTGGGGCTTGCATACCTCCTGTAAAGGCCCTGAGCCAGGAGCTGTCCAGATACTCCTTCGTGCTGTCCTTGCAGCTATCCTCTGAGCTAAGGAACAACGTTCCCATTTTACAGATGAGGAACTTGAGGCCCAGAGAAGTGAAGTCACTTGCCCAGGTCACAGCCAGGAGGTGTCGTATCTGAGTGTAGATGCCCCTGACCCCTGTGTGCTGTGCTCTCCTTGCCCAATGCAGCCATGACCATACCATGTTCTACTCACTGCTGTGGTCTCCACTCCTGGAATGTCAAAGCCTTGAGGCCATGTTAGATGCACCCCAGCCCTCCTGCTCCCTTGTCCCATCGCTTACCAGCTGTGCAACCTAGAGCAAGTTGCTTGACCTCTCTGAGTTTCAGTAACTGGACCTATTTCACAGGGTTGTTGTGAGGATTAAATAATGTAGAAATATACCAAGTACTTAGAACCCAGCCAGGTACACAGTACCTACTTGATAAACTATAGTAAATATCATTATCTCTGTATAATACTGCCTGCCTGAGGTCTGGCCTATGGGGGGGGGGTCCCTCTGGAAGGCTGGAAGTCAGTAGTATGGAAAGAGATGAAATAGGGCGGCGTCTGTGGCTCAAA